ACCATCCATGGTCCCATATTTCCTCGGAAAGCACTGAGAGGTTTTGACTAGACAAAAGTCAGAGAAAGGGACATGGCATGATTCTGGAGGAGTGCCACAGTTGGTACCTCACATAGTGCTTGAAGGTGAGAGGAGAGGTGGGAAGGCTGCCAAAATGACCTGGCCTACTTGATGGTTTAACCTTGGATTGATCTGTGAAGTTAAGCTTCTGGGTTTTGTTTTTGGTGGTTTCCTCCAGTTTATTGTAAGAGGAATATGTCACACTTTATATTTGTTTGATTCCTGCAATAGTTGACTTGGTCATATTTTACATCTTACTCACCTCCAAAACATGAGAAGGCTGATTTGGAAATCTAAGTGTTTGTGGTTTGGGAGCAGTTGTGTATTTCCTTCATTTGCTGCTTCACTGAGGATTTGTTTCATCCCTGTGAACTCTTTGACAATGTTCTGGAATATAAATTCCAATAGTGCAGAGACTGTTTAAAGCCAGCACTTAACACAGTGCATGGCACAGTGTAGTTATTTAAAAATATTTGAATTATTTGTCATTTCCTCCAAATCAATAGAAACCTTTTAATCAGGTCAACAAATTATTACCACCTACTTGACTCCCTGTCCTTATTGTGCTTCAGTTCATTTCACTTGGGTCATTAACCTCCTCTAAACACAGCCCCAAACTTTGGCCCTGTGCCTGATCCTATCCCTGGGCTGGCGGAGTATGAAAAGTGCTAGACAAGTGTTTCACTGGCTCAACATTAGCTCTCTGGTCCTGCTCCAACCCTGGGTGCTGATTTTGGTAGCAGGAATTTTCTCTTGCCCCTTATAGCTGAGCTTACCTATGTACTCATGTTCCATGAACATAGTCCTTCCTCTATATCCTAATTTGTCTAGAGTTGATGTTCATATCTCTGATATCTACTGCTCAGCACATAGGAAACTAGGAGTTGTGTTTGTGTTAAGGAGTTTGAGAAAGTTTAAAGACATCAGGAGAGGATTACTAAGAAAACAGAGGGTACTAAACCTAAGCTTAGCATTTTTGGAAATTTTCCTCTGAATTGATCTGAAACAGGATGGGGGGAAGGGGATTCATTTCCTTTTCTGTACTGCAGCCTATTGTTCTCAGGACCCAGCATGCAGACTAGTACCAGTTATTCTATGGTTGAAGTAGATAGTCTGTAAGCTTTTGTGAGCTAGTCTGAGACCCTAACCACCCTTTGTTCTTATGAGCTAATACATTCTGAGTTTCAGACAGTTAACTTTCAAATAAAGTTGGGAACACAATCCATTGATAAACTGAAGATGACTAGTAGGTTAATCCAGCTATCCTTTCTTTACCAAGGAGACTGAGTAAATCAATTTCTAGATTGGTCTCTACACAGCAGTGAGGGACACTCCTTTCTTATAACTTTGGACATGTAGCAGAGAATGGTTTGTTTCCCAAGGTTGGTGTAATTATTTTTGATGCTGAGTTGGCTGTAGAAATTCTCTTTCTGGTACTTTTATTTTGGTGGTGGTGGCCACTATTTTGGAAATGATACTAGTTTAGAGCAACTTTCAAAAATATTAGCTCAATTTTTTCAAATACATTTTTTCTTTATTATTAAAATATTGATTGAGGAAATTTACATGACAGATTTTCCCAGGGTCTCCTCAATTGTTTCATTTTGGCAGATATAAAATGTAAATGTGTAATGTCCTAGAACAGGAATAGGGTAACCTTTGAAAAAAGAACATTATGGGTAATAGAAGCTATCAACCAGAGGAACCTTTCATGTAATCATACTCCCAATCATTTTAGAGCTAGTGGGTTGAAAGATGAAGTCATTAGGAATATTTCAGGGGGCACATCTCACTGCTTCCTGCGGGATATGTCCAGGGAAATCCTAACTCTGCCTACTGGTCCAAAATTCTAAGAAATACATGTCCAACATGCTTTCTCTGCTTTAGTGAAGCATTAAAATTGCTGAAGTATGAAATAAGTGATTTTTCTTTTATGTTTTGTCAGAAAGCTTCCTTAGGATATTTTAAAATATATATTTTGTTAACTACAGTTAACAAAACTTCTATTTACCTACTGATCACATTTGGAGAACACACTCAATGTCTTAGCTGAGACACATATTAAAACTAAAGTGGCAAGTGACTTTCTATTGAAATTCTGACTCACGTAGCCTAGTTACCTGTTAGCATTATTAACATTATGTCCTCTTTTTTTTTTAAGGATTTATTTATTTATACAAGCACTGGGTACAGTGTGGGAGGGTGAGAGAATTCACCAGAGCCAGAGCGGGGAACAGAACAGGCAGAGTGACAAAATACACTGCTGAGGGGAGCAGCAGGCACAGCAGGAGAGAGGTCTGTCGCACCATGTGGGACCCTCGCTGGTGGCCGGGTATCAAACTGGTGCTGCAGAGGCTGCGGGCAGCTTCGCAGCCCAGCACTCAACCACTGCGCCACCAGTGGAGGCCCAACATTATGTCCTCTTTTGAGGAAGAATGGGAGAACACTATGTTTTAGAGTGGGGCGGAGGGCTTGGTCCAGGAGAAAGTAAAGTATGATGGCAAGCATTATTTTTTATTTTTATTTTCATTGTTGGGGGTTACATTTTTTGCTCTTCCATATGTGCACTCACCCTCTACCAAACCACCTCTGCCAGTATCCCATCTGGATGAAAAGCATTCTTGTAAGTGCTAAAATGAAGCATTGAAACACCACTTATTCCTCCCTTTAAAATTTTTTAATCCAAAGGCATTTAGAGGTCAGAGAGCTATTAGCCCGTAAGCTAAACATCGTTACTATCCTGGGTACTCCTGGTTCACTTTGCACAATAAATGTTACCGTAAAGTGCTCTAGAGTACACACATGCATAATCAGATCATTTTCTCTTTGACTCACGCTTTCACTTCTGATCTGCATTTGTCAACAGATTCTAAAGCTAATCCAGTCGGATAGTTAATAAGAGGTACTTAAACATAGAAGGAGAGCCTGTTGTATCAGGGAGGAACTCTGATGAATTATTTCATGAAACAAAGAGCCTCTAGGAAAATGAATGTGCAGTCTTGTAACCTAATTTGAATTTCATATATTGGCTTTCCTGAAAGTGAGGACTAGCTATATTTTCCCTCTTTTTTTCCCTGTGGTTATTATATCTCTTGTGATGGTTTCTCCTGAATTCTAGAGACTAGGTTTTCTTGCTCCATTTATTCATTTTAATTATTTGCCATCAGCTTGCAACAATTACAGAATAATCATTTATTCTACAAATGTTGATTGTATATAATGTAGGAGAACCTGTTCTTGGCCCTGGGGGTCCACAAGCAAGGCAAGATCCCTCCCAAGGTGCTCACATTCTGGTAAGGGAAGGAGATAAATCAATAGGCAATTCCTATGCAGTATGAATAGTGCTTTGATAGGAAAAGTACAGGGTACTGTGAAACCACAGAAGGTGAGTGGAAGGTTGGGGAAGGAGGGGTTCAGGGAAAAATTGCTTCGAATAGGTGATGTTTATGAAAGCACAAGTCTCAAAGTAATTTGTTAGTACATGTCGAAGTATTATTCAGCCAATTAATGAAAGAGTCAGATATGCAAGAATGCTTCCTCACAAAGCATTGGAAAAATGGGGAGTCATCTAGTTAATTGAGAGAAGAATGCCAAAAGGAGATGACTAAGTGATTCAAAATTGACTACTAATGCTTTTTTGTGCGATAATCTGAAATTTTAGGGGGTTCCTGAACCAATCACTCTCCAAAAATGTAAATTACATCTTAGCAGTTTCCTGCAAGTTAACCTCTAACTTTAAAAGAATAAAGTTTTCTGCACCCTAATCAGTTGTAGATAGTCAAACTTACAAACCTTGAAAGAGTCAGCTAACTGGCAGGTTTGTTGAAAATGTGCTGGCATGACATTTAACAAGTCATGCAGGCATCAATTTTCCCTTTCTTTTTTTTCTTCAAAATTTAGATGTTTCCCTATCTAGTTTTCTCTGTGACCTTGGCCAGTTTCTGAAGAGTAGTTTTACTCACAAGAGGCAGCAAGTCTCATTGTGTTTTGTGCCAAGACGATTAATTGCTTAGTTCATTATTTTCTGTAATTAGAGATAATGGAAATTAAAGATAGATGTAATAGGGTAGATATTATTGTTCACAGCTATTTACTACCCACCTTTCCTATAAGAGGAGTATGTATCTCCGCCCATTGCCAGGTGACTTGCCATGACTCTTGTGGGAAAAATACAGATTTATTTTTTGATGCAACTGACATGCTTTGACAATAGAGTCTGTGGTTTTGATTTGCATTTCCTTGACAACTGATGGTGTTAAGCATCTTTTTCTTTCCATTCCTGTACATTCTTAGTAAGTTTGGGACATTTGGACTCTTTAACCTTTTCCCTGTTGTGAATAGTGCTTTTATGAACATTCATGTACCTGTACTTATTTGAGTACTTATTTTCAGTTCTTTTGGGTACAAAAGTGCTTTTTTTTAAAAAAAAAAAAAAAAGACTGTTAAGATGGAGCAGCAGAAAGCTGAAGCCTATATCTTTAGGGTGTTACAAGATAGAACCCACAGGCATCAGGACAGCTGGTAATTAGGTGTGAAACCTTAGAGGTAAAGAAGCTACTGAAAGACTGAACCTCAGCTCTGTCCAAAATCTAGGCTATGTTAGACAGACACAAGGGAGATTCCACAGGGGCCAGACTAAATCATGGTTAAAGGTTAGAACAAAGCAGATATATCAGTTGCTACACAGCACAAAGGGCACAAAGTTGCAGTTTGTAATTGTAATTTTAAGAACACATCAGAACCCAGAGTCAACACAACATCTGCTTATAATATATAATTTTTATAATAAAATTTCAACCCCAAATGCTAGACATTGAAAAGAAAGAATAAGGTGAGACCCAGGTAGAGGGGAAAAGGCAATGAATGGAAATGGACTTTGAGTGGGCCAGAATGTCAGATTTAGCAGACAAATACTTAAAAACATCTATTATAGTTTTCCCATGGCTGCCACTCTGGAGGCAGGCAAGCCCAGGAAGGGAAAACCCTTTAAACTCTTAGGACTTTTAGATGTGGAAAATATCCCCTATGCCCAGGATTCAATATTATATGGTTCATTAGGATCTGTTGTGTCTGGCCTTGGACTTTTTTTGTTAGCTAGAGGAGAAAGTCTGTGATCTTGGAGTAGAAGGATTTTTCTTGGTAACTTTAGGATGTTGGTTCCACTGTAGGCATAATTATGCAAAGCAAAGGATACAGGGAAGAATTGCCAGAGAAGGAATTAAAAACAAGATTTTTTATGAAAGTATCCACCTTGATCTGGACAGAAAACAAACCAATGGCAACAGCAACAGCTGAAAAATCTCAGGCACAGAACACCTACATACAACTGAAGTCAGTGTGAACAAAACTGAGGGCCGGGCCTCCCTGTGGAGTAGGGGTTAAGTCTTAGTGCAGTCATGCTATCACCTTTGTGGCCTGAGTTCAATTCCTGGCCAGGGAGCTGACCCACATGGCACAGCAGACCTCTCCATATAATTGACCCCTTTTACCTGCTTTCCCCACGTTTCCCCCCTTCTTTTCTGATAACCACTAATTTGGTCTTGTAGTCTGAACATTTATTTTTGTTTTATTTTGTTTGTTTTGTTTATTTATGTACTACATATAAGTCAAATAATACAGTGTTTGTCTTTCTCTATCTGACATATTTCACTCGGCATAGTACCATTAGGACAATCCATGTTATTGCAAATGACAGGATTTCATCTTTTTTATAGCTGAATAGTATTCCTTTGTGTATACCACATCTTCTTTATCTCTTGATGGACATTTAGGTTGTTTCTGTATCTTGGCTATTGTGAACAGTGCTGTAATGAACACAGCAGTACATATATATTTCTGAATTAGCATTTTCAAATTCTTCAGATAAATACCTAAAAGTGGAATTGTTGGATCATATGGTGGTTCTATTTTTAGTTTTTTTAGGAGCTGGCTTCCATTGTGGCTGCACCAATTTATATTCCCACAAACAGTGCACAGGGCTTCCTTTTTCTTGACAACTTTGCCAACACTTTTCTCTTGTCTTTTGGATAATAGCCATTCTAGTATGTGTGAGGTGATGTCTCATTGTGGTTTTGATTTGCATTTCCCTAATAATTAATGACAATGAGCATCTTTACATCTTTTCATGTGCTTGTTGGCCATCTGTAATTCTTCTTTGGAGAGGAGAGATGTCTATTCAGATCCTCGGCCCATTTTTCAATTAGATTGTTTATTGGTGAGTTGTATGGTTCTTTATATATTTTAGATACAAACCCCTTGTGATATATGATTTACAAATATCTTGTGCTATCCAGTAGGTTGCCTACTTTGGAAGCCCTGTGGACCAGAGGTAAATTTACCATGAACCTAAGAGCCTAAGAGGAGTCCTAGTAACATGTTCCCATCATAATACTTTTATTAATATTTGCAGGTGTAAATTTAAATAAAAATCAGTTATGACCGGTGTTTCTTTCTATCTCCTCTTCCCTTTCATCGCATTTCCCTTCTTGCTGAATGTCGACCTTGGACTGGCTAGGAATTTTGAATTTTGAATTCTGTCAGTTGATGGAAATGCATTGACTTTGGGCTTAGTGAGACATTATTTGTGAGATTCAAAATCGTTCCTATAGGTTATTGATAGTGTAGGATGTCTTCAGAAATATTCCTACTGCCCAGTCTCCCCAAAGTGCAAGGCCAGATGTTGTGCTGAAATGTCAAATGTGCCTGTGGTACCTGGCACAGAACGTGTATGTTTAGTGGAGGTGAAACAGGATGTGAAATATATAAAGAGTTTGGTTTTTATTAATGCCTCACTTTGAACAGATATTTTACTGACACATGATTTTGTAACATCATAAACTGAACATTTGAAAAATATTGCCTCACCGAATCATGCAGATCTTCCAAATATTGACATATTTCATGATACAATATAAAAATCTCACATTTGTTACTGTAACCATTGATCTCATCAGGAAAGTATTTATGTTTTGGAAAGCTGTCAAGTTCATGGTGGCAGATACAAGATTTCTAAATTCCAATTTTTACTTGAAAAAACTTGCATTTTATAATTGGCAAAAAATGCTGTCAGTTGTTTTCCTTGGAGTGACAGGCTCCCTTTGTTAATTTTAGAGAAAGCGTCTGTCAAGAACCCAAGTCTGAATAACCAAAGTTTGGCAGTAATTGTTTTAAGTAAAAATGGTGTTTTATGAAACAAGGTGCTTTTATTTATTTATTTTATTGGGATATAATTACATATAACACTATATTAGTTTCAGGTGTACAGCATAATGATTCAATATTTGTAAATATTGCTTTTAAATTGCAAAAGTGTTTCTGAGGCAATTAGACTTCATGATGCACTGGAAGTGTGCTATGCACACTCCCCATTTTGTCATACAAAATTTAAAAAACATGAACTCAAGGGTCATATTTATAACATTACTATTTTCCACTGTTCTATCAAAGACATTCTTAAGTACAACTGGCATTTTTCATAAAACTGAATATGTTGGGCCTCCCGGTGGTTCAGCGGTTGAGCGCTGGGTTGCGAAGCTGCCCGAAGCCTCTGCAGCGCCAGTTCGATTCCCGGCTGCTCCCCGGCCACCAGAGGAGGGTCCCACATGGCGCGCAGACCTCTCCTGCCGCCCGCTGCTCCCCTCAGCAGTGTACTTTGGTCCTTCTGCCTGCTCTGCTCCCCGCTCTGGCTCTGGTGAATTCTCTCACCCTCCCGCGCTTCTGACTGTACGCAGTGCTTGTATAAATAAATAAAATAAATAAATAAATAAATAAATAAATAAATAAATAAATGAATGAATCTTTAAAAAAAAAAAAACTGAATATGTTGGTGACAAACACAGTGACTACTATCAATGTATTCCTAGAGCTGCCATAAAAAATCATTATGCTCTGGAGATCAGAATATTAGGCATCTGGAGTCGCCTTTACTAGGCTGAAAGGAAAGTTTCGGCAAGCCTACACTCCCCCCAGAAGTTCAAGGGGAAAATCCATCTCCTTGCTTTTTCCACCTTCCAAAACTCATTCCTTCATTCCTTGGCTGGTGTTCCCGTCTTCCTTCTTCATAGCCAACTGCACAGCATCTTGCTTTAGTCATTACATTACCTTTTTGTATTCAAATCTCCCTCCGTTTTGACCATCCTAAATGTTGATATTGTCTCTTCCTTTCCAGTCCTAACAGATAATAGTGATTTTCCTGTCTATTGCTTTGACTGTGACCTCTGGTACAATGATAAGTAATTGTGATAGGCTCTCCTTGACAAGGTTATCCTTGCCTTCACCCTAACTCGAATGGGAATTTTTAAAAAAGATTTATTTTTATTTATGCATATAAGAACTGGGGTGCAGCCAGAGGTCATGGGGTTGAGAGGATTCACCAGAGACAGAGTGGGGAGCAGAACAGGCAGATCCACTGAAATCCACTGCTGAGGGGAGCAGCAGGTGAGACAGGAGAGGTCTGATGCACCATGTGGGTCAGCTCCCTGGCTGGGGATTGAACTCATGCTGTAGTGGCTGCCAATAGCTTGACAACGCTGAGACTTTAACCCCTGCACCACCAGGGAGACCCTGAATGGGAATGTTTTTAAAATTTCACAATGACCTTTCATATAGGTGTTTGGGAGAGGTTCATTTTTTTTTTTTTAAAGATTTGTTTATACAAGAGCTGGAGTACAGGCCAGAGGCACAGGGAGGGTGAGAGGATTCACCAGAGACAGAGCGGGGAGTAGAACAGGTAGACAACTGAAACGCACTGCTGAGGGGAGCAGCGGGTGAGGCAGGAGAGGTCTGCCACACCATGTGGAAATCTCCCTGGCCGGCCAGGAATCGAACCCGCGCTGCAGAGGCTGTGGACAGCTTCACAGTGCTGAGCTCAACCTGTTGCGCCACTGGGGAGGCCTGGGAGAGGTTCATTTGTATGTTAAGTTCCCTTCTATTCCTGTTCCAAGTGGTACCCTGTACTTAAAGTCTATTGAGTTTCACTGGTTATCAAAATATCTCCATTGTATATTGTGTTTTGAGAAGCTTTGGCAGCCACTGGATTGCACTAAAATGTGAGTAGATTCAGTATAGGTAGCTGTTGAGAGAGGTTTTTGAGTCATAATATCTGGATTTGAATCCAACTCCATCATTAACTAGCTGGGTAAGTCACTTAACATTTTTAAGCCTGAGGTTCTCCATTTGCAAAAAGGGTATAATAATGGCCTCTACTTTAAATTCACTTATTGAACAATAATTTATTCAGTCAGTCATGTTTTAAGTAGGGAGATGTACCAGTGAATAAAACAGTAAAAATCCATGCCCTCAAAGAGCTCATAGTGAGGAGCTTTGGTTGTAGTGAAGTTTCCCAGTGTTTGCATAGCAGCTGTCATATGAAAAATCCTAAATAATTATTACATATTGTTGTGATCACAATTGTTATGGCTCTTCTTGAGGATCTTGCATTGCAAATGATCTAGGTTTGTCTACTAATTCAATAAATATGTATTTTGCACCTACATATGTATGATAAGCACTTTGCTAAGAACCAGGGGTAACAAATTTTGGGGGAGATATTTTTTCTTGGTCAGGTTCCAACATTAAAACATTAAAAATGCTGCTTATGAGAACATTGAGAATTTTTCCTTTTTATTTGGAAGCATTTGTGGCCTCATCTGACACTTGAAGCAGATTTTCTTTTTAATTAGAAAAGCTTTATTATTGAAATTCTAGAATATTTTCAAGTACAGTCAGAATAATGTAGTGCACATGGCTGTGCTTATTGTTTGATTTCAACAATTATTAGTGCATAGTCACTCATGTTTCAGCTCTATTTCCACCCATCTACCCCCATTATTTTGAAACAACTTCCAGACATCCTATCATTGCCTTTGTAACTATGTTAGTGTGTAGAAGCAGTTGTCTTAATCAGCCCCAAGCAGCCTTGCTGTGACACTCATTATACCCGGCCTGTACTCCTATACAATAGAGCTAACCTTCCAGATCACGGACATTGAGATGGGTTAAGGAAAACTGGCTATTAATAGGCTCTTTCCCCAGAATGAGATCTTGTATCTAAAATAGAACAAGTAAAGGGGGGAGATTTTGATGATCTCCAGGAAAACAGAATTCCAGCAAACATGATCAAATAGAAGGCATATTAATTTGTACGATAAAATGTCAAAAAGGTCTTGCCAATCATGCGGCTATAGATATATTTATTTATTTATTTTAAAGGTTTATATATTTATTTTTGTGTAGAAGAACTGGGGTGTAGGCCAGAGGTGTGGGAGTTGAGAGGATTCACCAGAGACAGAGTGGGG